TTTCGTCATATCCCCAGTAACCTCATTTCCCGTACATTCCTGAAAACCATTCCTTTCTACGCTACAGTAACCACCGCACCGTGTGAAACAACCGATCCACTAGAGCGAGACATGCGCTTACAAATTAGGAGTAATGGCGTCTGTTTTAAAGCGGTATTTTACATTAATCATAGCACTTCGATTTGTTTACTCGTATCATTTGTTTGATAGGGATCTTAGTACGAAAAACTTATCTTATATATCGTGAGAATGAGAAGTATCTGGGTAAAGTAAGTTACAGTTCTACTGATCAGTGAGCCTGAGGCTAAGCCAGAAGTCTGGAGTTCGATTCCAACCCAGGGCAAATGCTCAGCACGATCATTTTGTTCTGTGTCTCGGTGTAATTTATCTATGCAAATAAATAAAATTGAAGTTTCTATTTGTAATGTCAAATAGGTTATTTTCATGCTCACGCGGCTATTTGCACCATACCTATGCCTAAAAACCAGTTTCAATATTTTTTGCCTGTCTATCTCTTTATTTGTTCCGGGTAATCCGTAAAACGGCTGGACAGATTTTGATAATACTTTACTACGAGTACCATAATAAGTGACTTGGGCTATTTTTCCTCTCAGAAAAACCTTTTTTTCTTTCCGTGCGGAAATCCCCTCGGATACCACCTGTCGGTGGCATGTCGGACTCGAACCGACTAAAACCGTACGCCGTCCCTGGTACTAATAGCCGGGGAACCAGGTATACCCTAGAAAGGTAGAGGGACTACCTTGTGCCCCGACATACCTCGGGTCATCTACAGACGAGTAGACGACCCCCTCCGTCTCAGAAAAACCCTATAAAATTTTGTCCGGTAGGGGAACACCGAATCGAACCCGACTACATAATACAACACTGAGGCAGCGCTTTTCAAATTTCACTCGAACGAAGTCGTCGGTACCAGCTAGTCTATATTATGTATAATGTATGTATTTAGAAATATATAAGAATATATATCAGCTGTCTGGTTACCATAATACAGGTTATGCCTAGTTTGGAATCAAACGGCCGTGTGTGAGATGTGTGAGGTTATTATTATTTTACTTGTAATTACATTTATTCGTATACTAGCTGACCCGCGTAACTTCGTCTGCGTCTCTCAATAGTAATAAATTTTCTCCGTTTTTGAAACATTCTTCATTGGTGCTCCGCTCCTATTGGTCTTAGCGTGATGATATATAGCCTATAGCCTTCCTCGATAAATGGGCTATCGAACACTGAGAGAATTTTTCAAATCGGACTAGTAGTTCCTGAGATTAGCGCGTTCAAACAAACAAACAAACTCTTCAGCTTTATAATAGTAGTATAGATATAGTCTCAGGAGACAAGCCATGAAGCCATTGTGGAATGTGATAGCTTTGTTTTTAAAGAAATTCGTTCAACTAAGAATTTCCAAGTATCAAGTTACTACAGTGTTTTGTTTATTTAAAACTTTTTAAAACTATTTATTTTAGTTTTTGTGAGTAGATTACGATAGTTATCTTCTACGTATTTTATAAGACTGGCCTATTGATCTAGTAGTAATCCTGACTGCTGAGTAAGCCATACTGGCATACATCAAAACAATGGTTGTAGAAGATTTGATGAACTGTTTGTATCTGTAATTAGACAAGAGTGGTCATGAGTTTGTTTGCCCTTTCTTGTCACAAGTCTCAACTCCTTGGAAACGATCGGTTGTAGATCGGCACACGCATACAGCGGATTGGATTCATTGTTGCTATTATATCTGTTGATCTATGACTTACATAAAATACGTTTTTTTTAATACAAAGTAAAGATGTTTGGACTTTGACTTTGAGAGGTGAGTTTCATTCCAACTCAGGAGAATGCATTATGTGATGAGCACGATCATTTGTTCTGTGTTTTGGTGTAACTTATCTATAATATGTATGTATTAAGTAGTCTGGTTACCATGGTATAGGCTCTACCAATTTTGGGATCAGACAATTTTAAGAGGTGTAAAAATTTGTTTTTACTCTGTATTTTTTTAATGTTAAACGAGCATGATACATTAGAGGAGAATGGCGAATATTGTGTTAAATTTCAAGTATTCGTGTTCATAACAAATTGTCAAACTTCTGTCAATAATGTCACTCACTGACAAAAAATATGTCATTTTTGACAATCAGTTGTAAATTATAATGCTCGTTAAGTACTTACACTATAGTTTGACTTGTCTTTACTATAAACACAAATGTAGCTAAAACTTTCAAAATGGCCTATAACGGTTGCCAATTTAAAGCAAATGTTGACATAAACTTGTCACATTAAGCTGTCACTTTTCATCGCACATGTTTTGTCAGAGCATAATGTTTTGAACATGTGAGCGACAGAAATCTTCAAGACGTCGGGGACATTGACAGAGGGCGCTAGTGTGACTTTACCAATAAATAAAAACTCGATAGTTTTGGACGTAAATTGCTAGTATTTTTAGGATAAAGACAGAATCGTATTTACAGGTTCAGTTTTCTTCAAAGGGTAAAAGTTTAATGCTCCCTCTGGTAGTGAATTTACATATTATGATGCCAGAACCTTAGTTAAATAGTTAAAATTGTTTCTTATAAATAAAATATGTCGGTTGAAGGGTTTAAAAAATTAAACAATATTATAAGTAGTATCAAGTATCGAAAGAAGGAAAACTTGACACAAACCCTATACCAACCCGTCTGGCCAGCGTGGTATAGTAGGCCAAAACCTCCTTTCTAAGGAGAGGGTTATGTCCAGCAGTGGACTGTTAGAGGCTGTTGATGTGATGATAACTAGCATTAAAACTTTTCAAAGTATTAATGAAACTTATCAACAAATATCAACATTAGTTTAGATAAATAAAACATGAGCTGACGCGTACGTGCGCTAACGTGCGACGCATAAGACATGCAAGTTTTTTAACTTAGCCTTTTCAATAAGAAACAATAATTTATATATGAATCATTACTTCTTTCTAAAACCACTAGGTACCATGACTTTGTCTTAAATTTAAGGAAAACTTATCATCAAACAATGAGACGATGCCCTACTTTATATAGTCTGCAATGCATACGCGAACTGATAAGGAACACACTCATTTTGGTTCTTTAACTCACAACTCTATAATTGTCACGGTGATTATGAAGATCGTGAGATCGGTGTTAAGCAATTCTTTCGTTGCCTTTCCCTGAGTGAGTGAGGTTACCGGAGCCCAAACCCCCCCTCCCGATGACTTGAGCGGGAGCAAAACGGAAAGGGAACGCACTTGTGACTTTTGAGTTGCAGGTGTCCATGGGCAGCGGTAGTTGCTTCCTATCAGGTGACCCGTTTGCTCGTTTGCCCCCTTATACCTTAAAGAAAGTGCCACTCGCGCCTGTAAAGAGAGGGATCCGGGCACTGCTGATTAAGACATCCGGACCCCTTCTAGCGCCTGCCCGCAACGGCGAACGTAACCTCGCGGCTGGCCGTTATGGCGGGTAAAGGAGAAAACGACCTAACCAATTTGACTGCTAAAGACTGTTGATAATTCAGACCTACATACAGTGTAATAGTTAAAAATGTTTTATACTATTTTCGTCTACCCCCAGAATATGCACATAATTGCTTTTTATCAATACTTTAAGGATATTCTTGGTGCCCCTTTTTAGAACAATATGTTTGTAAAATACTTAGTGTTTATGTGTAGAAGAAGTGCACAAAAATAAAGCTTTACGGGTCCAATATATTTATTTGTTCTGCTACTATACCACAATGATAGTTCAAGTTATACTGGTTACACAAATAAAACAAGCCATTCAAAATGTTCAAAATCCGATCACACAGCGATTTCTTATTTGTAAACAACATTCATATTTAATTTAATAATTGCAAACATTAGATAGGTACTTTGAAAGAGTTAATATTTCATATTTTTATTTTTAAATATAAAAAGGGGATGTGAATACTTTTTTCGTTGAAAATATCTATTTGCGCAATATACAAACTTTATAGCGCTGATATTTTTTACGGTCAATATTTTTTCAAGTAACCTAGAAACATAAGCTAAGTTAGCTGTAATTTTAACTGTAATGTTCGCTTCACTTACAAAAGAAGTACAAACTCACAAATTCTTAAGAAAAAGAAAGATCTTCAATAAAGTTAAAGCCCCTATACGTATACGTACACTTACATTGGCATAAATATGTTTGTTTGTATTTTTTGTATAGCAAAGATATTGTATCCTGTATGTGATATTGTGATCATGTATGGGATGGATCTAGGCATACAAGATCTCCATACGATCATTTCCTTGAAAACCATATGGCCAACTACATATAGTAGGCAAAAACCTCCATTGTAAGGAGAGGCCTATGTCCAGTAGTGGACTGTTAAGGGCTGTTGATGATGTGATGATGATGAAACCCTATGCCCAACGAAACGAAAATTTCTTGGAATTTGATTGGTTAAATCAGGTTCCAAGAAATTATCGTTTCGTACAATAGGTTCCGTGTGGTGACGGATTAAGAATACAGAGTGTCACCACCCCTATCCGTCCAGTGGGTGTCGTAAGAGCCGACTAAGGAAGCAAACTACGCAGGACAACAACACTGCAAAGAGAAGGAAATCTTGACGCAAACCTTTTACCAATCCGTCTGGCCAGCGTGGTATAGTAGGCCAAATCCTATGAGGCCTATTTCCAACAGTGGACTGTTAAAGGTTGTTGATGTGTTAAACCATATGCTCCATTTAAAGTAGTCAGTCACTGACTGACACTGTTTCTTCGCCCCACTCTGTCTCATCTCGTGACAAGTATTTTTCCTATCACTTAATTAATCATTACAGATGTGATAAAATTATCTTATCACATGTCTATCTAAACATATCACAACGATATTATAATTATATTGTACGAGTAACATTTTTCGTAGACGTGAAGCGGAGTGCGCGTGCGTTCCTGCATCCCGAGGAGTCCCGACCGATCCCGACGCTATCCGAACGCCCCGTTTCCCGGACCCGAAGTGATGATGAGGTGGTGGGAAGTGTGCCTTCTGTGCTGTGTTTTAGGCCTTGGCACAGTTTTGGGGCAAGGACCGGAAAAACGTGAGTGAAATTTGCATAAATATGTAATATTTTATGTTAAGAATAATTTCTTAAATTACATGTTATGACTATACCTATTTAGATGTTTATGTCTTAAGTTTCTCATTTCTTGTTCATCAATACAGTCAATGGTTAAATTGATTATGTAACTCTGCTAAAGTAATATGTATATATATTTTTAAAGTAACAAACAGACTAGAGTTTGTCTTGTCAAAATCTTAGTAATATCTTTTATCTACAAAGAAAAACTTTTTTCAAGCAATTCTCTATTCTAAAGGCTAAGATATATATTTTCTTCGCCAATAACCTAAATTTGGTCTATTACTAATACCAATTCTATTCAGCTGTTTCTAAGTGATGCGGTTACAAACAAATAATATTTCATTTTCATTTAAATATAATTATGTAGATAGGGGGGGTATTTTTTTAAATGGCAATAATAAACGGCTTAAATTAAACATGGAATGGCAACTTAGTATCAAAAAATGATCTATTCAAACCTTCAGTCATTGATCGTAGATCTAAGCATATTCCAAATTTAAATTACATAATATTCTGATTATAGAATCGATGAAAAACGTGAGTAGTAACATAAGAAATTCAATTGTCTTTGCGCCAGTAAAAGTTGATGTCGACAACCTGGTTCAAGTAAGTGATAAAATTGCGGTTTCGAAATACTGTTATTTCCGTTTCAATATAATGCCGCTTCTGCCTAAAACATTTATCAAAATCTCTTTGTAGCCTAAAATAATGTAAGATTTTAAACATTGTATTTCAATTCTTTCGAGAATACTTCTTTTTATAGATTAAAGGTACCAAGTTAAAAAATTAGAAAATGTTATAATACCTACGTAGTATAACATTTTGTGTACCCATGTGCATGAAAAATTTCAAGATGATCGGTTAAGTGTTGAGTAGCTAAAACTCACTTTCGCAATTAGTATGTTAGTTAGGCATTTTAGTGAATTTTAGACAAATCACCCAGCCTACGTGATAGTAGAATGTTACATCAAGCATTTTAAGGCTGGCAATACCCTTTATGCGTGTGTTGAAAACTTTATCCATCACTGATAGCAGCGCTAGCATCTTAGTCGGCTAAGTTCTTTCAAAGAAAACTTTTTATTCTAATAAAAATATGCTGCCCTAGCACATTTGTAAAATTAAACTTATAAAACGTTCTAGAAACAACTAGGCAACCACTTAAGTAAAAAATATCGGTATTTTTACATGCCTTATCACAAAAAGTTTTACATAAATTGGGGAGCAAGCAGGATAAATTCGGCACAAATGGGCAGCTCTACCCGAGTGGTACCACGGCCTCACAGAAAACCGATGTTTTCTGCTGATTTTGTAATTGTTTCGTGGCTTTTTATCGAGTGAGCTAGGGAGTCCTTTTTACCGGAATACCGGAGAAATAGAATCATTCAAACTTGTGCACTTTCAAATACGTTCTCCTCCCGAAACTTCCGGTATCCTTAGCTAAATTTACCACATCAGGAAATTGGGTATTTTTTTTAATTTTTCCCTCTCTTTCCTACATTCTGTGGAAGTGATGTCATTAAAAAGAGACAGAAATGTGTAACAGGAAGCTGGGAAACCACGCTCTATTTACCAATCAGCGTGTGCGGTGCTAAAGTTATCAGTCAAATGGTAGGTGAGATGTCAGATATTACATATGAGGCTCACTTGAGTTTTCCTTTCAAAACTCTGGCACACCTTGACCGCCTCCAAGTCGTCGTGATACCTTCTTCGGTGTACTTTTGCTAGGGCAATGGACAGTCCCATCCATTACCCCCAGGAACCGTGCTGCTATCTCTGACGTTGAAACCGTCCTTCGGTTTCAACTTCGTCATGCTGCCAAAGGACTTTATGTAGAGCTATGGAGAATAAAAACTAGAATTATTTGAGATGCAAAACGTATCCCTAGTAATATTATAGATGCGAAAGTAACTTTGTCTGTCGGTTACACTTTCCGGGTAAACCGTTAAACCGATTTTAATTAAATTTGGCATGGAAATACTTTGATTCTTGGGGAAAGAAATAGGCTACTTTTTACCTCGATTCCCGACATACACGCGGACAGAGCCGCGGGAAAAGCTAGAAGACTTTAAAAAACAAACTGAAAAGTCTCATTTGTTAGTTTTTGACGTAATCATATTTGCAGATGTTCAATCTTACACAGAGCTGTTGTGAGACTTGTTGTAACTTGTTTGTATATAAAGTATATAACTAATAGGCTCAGGTGTATATCATGTCGCTCGTAGATAAAAAGTGTAAACATTAGCATGTAACTTGTTATCTGAAACAAATGTGATTTTAATTGTATGTTGTAAAAAGATTTTTGGCACATTCAACCATATCAATTTATGTTTTATAATTTAACACTTACGGTATAATGAGCCTTATCTATCTGTTAGGATTTTTTTTTCACATTTAACTCACGGCGCGGCGGTCTGATCCCAAACTATGGTATATATATATAACCTGTATTATGGTAACCAATCTGCTGATAAACATACTTATACATTTTAAAAAACAGATAAATTACATAGATAAATTAAACCCAGACACAGAACAATTGACCGTGCTCATCAAACAATATTTGTCCTGACTGGGAATCGAGCCCACGACCTCCGGTTTAGCAATCAGGGTCACTAACCATTACACCAACAGACCCATCAACTGAACCGTGAACTGAAATTGAAGAAGTTCATCTGATGATGCTTCTGATTGAGTTTATCAAAGTTCTGTTGTATAAAAAGCACTGATTTACGAATTATATACAATGTATGTATTAATAGTAATTTTAGTCCCTTTTATATTATATCAAGTGATGTTACGAAGCATTCTTGTCTGACACCTTAGTGATATAAAAATGAAGGATGAAATATTATTGTAAATCAGATTTATCCACTATAACACGTTGTTAAATACGACTCAATAAGATTTAACGACATCTTAAAATTAAGGGCGTGTCTTAATATTCCATCACTACATTTGGTATTCGACGCTATTATCACTTATCACTGTAGGACTTGTGTAACTGTGAGTGAAAATAAACGTGCGTATGCGCACCTTAAACACGATAAGTGACGTAAAGAGGGCAAGGATGGTACTCTACACAATACAAGTACCAGCATGACCCATAAGTGGTAATTTCATCATCAAGTACTGACGACTGCGGCTTAATTTTGAGATAGTTTCCGTCCAGGATACATCCTATACATTTATACATATTGTTACAAAAACGCGTGGTCATTTTTAGGGTCATATAGTACACTAAATAAGCAAATTAATGAAAAAATACCGATTGTGTGAAAATGTATATTTTAAAATTTACAAAGTGACGATTTTAATTTTCATAATCTTCAAATACCCAGGGTCACTGTCACAATTAAGACGAATTTAGAGACATCTTTCCAAGCCAAAATCCATCAAGCCGTTTAGGCTACAGAGCGTGCTACATAAATATACATCATCATCATCAACAGCCTTTAATAGTCCACTGCTGGACATAAGCCTCTCCTTAGAAAGGAGGTTTTGGTCTATACTATTTGGCATATATATATATATATATCAATATACATACATGCATATCAATGTGGCACGTGGTTGGCACTGAAAATCAGTACAGGGGTGGGTGCTACCCATCTCAGTGTATGCTGAGTGTCCATCCAAATTTCTGATACATGACACAAGTGGCTGCCTTGCCTAGTCACACATTAGATACGTGAGCGCCAGTGAGCTTGTGCGTGTGCCAATGTTGCCGCATTGTGCGTCTATCCTCATAAAAATTGTTTGTCGTGTATCTTAGAAATAAAATATGTTTTATTTCTTTCTTTCTTTCTTCTTTCTTTCATACATACACTCTAAAAACAAAACACGGAAACACAAATACGTCAAGCAAGTAATTGTCCAAACAATCTGCTTATTCTTTAATTCATCTGTAAACAATATCTTACTATACGAAAGTGTGGATTGATGAATGATTGTTACTCAATAACACCAGAACGGCTAAACGAATCTGGATGTAATTTGGCACAGAGATAGACTATAGTCTGAAATGGCACATAGGCTACTTTTTACTTATCCCAGAAAAAATGATTGATAAAATTGATATTAATGGGAACGAAACCGCTGACAGAAGGCTAGTTTTATATGAAAGTAAATAAAGTACAATAAGCAATACGCAACATTATATCAAGTGGAAATAACGATGACCGTTATGAACGAATTGCATTACCAGCCAATTAGTCTCGTCCGAAGTTCGAATCTACACCGTCTCACTCCAACGCTTCCCAATCGCTACGACTGCAAACTACCGCATAAAATTTAACCCGCGCTTGACCGGATAAATTAATTTTATAATCGGTAAAATTTAAAAAAAAATTGCTTGAGTGAATCCATTTAAGTTGTAACGTCTTTCGAAATGTTTCCAGTGCCTTTAAGGTATTAAAAAAATCACTAAACGTTAATCTGTTTACGTTTTTAGGTTGTAGTTTTTGGAGAAATTATTATTCGTAAGTTTTTGTCTTTCAAAATGTTTCTTGTCTTACTATGGTAAAAAAATGAATTAAACAGTATAAAAGGCTGGCTTATGAAAGAAAATAATAAATATAGCACAATTAAACGAGGCATCGCCACCTTACATGTTATATAATTCTATCACATCGTCGCCACGACATGCGTCGCCAACGCCAATAGCCGGTCTGATCCTCGGCATTTAGATGTTTCACATAAAAGAAAAAAACTACTGATAGTCACATAAACACTTCAATAATTTGTTGTTGACCATCTGGGCAAAATAACATTTCTATAAAGTATCATTATTTCAATGCCAAATAACATTAATGATAATTTGGTAACACACGGTACTCCACTACTAATAATTACTCAGACGGAAACATCTTGTAATAAGTATGGCCCGGCAGTACCTATAATATTAGTTATTATATTTTGTTCCAAGAAAGTAATGTACCTACTAATATTAAAACTCTTAA